GTGTGTGTGTGTGTGTGTGTGTGAAAAAAATTAGTGGCGGTCAATTCATCAGCCTTGCAAGCTGTTGAATGGTTTAATCCCAGCACAAATTGCTATGTCTAACATAGCTGTTCGCTACAGTGTCTGCTCCAGCGCCGGGTGAGCCGGGTAATCCACCCGGTTGGGCGGCGCTTGGACCCGGTTGAAAATATAGTACCGGGTCACCTGTGACCCGGTTGGTACTTTACACTTTCCGGAACTTTGAAAGGACTGACTACATGGCTTGTATGTGTCAGATTATCCGACTCAGATACTTCTTCTTCTTTCGTAATTATTTTTTCTAATTCCTGTCCTCTCTTTCTAAATGCGGCTTATCCATTCGCCTTTATATCATTGGGCCTAGTTCCCGTTTATTGTCCGAATTAAAATAAACCAACCAACCAGTTAAAGCATGTGACTCGGCTGGTGAGACAGCGCCAGGTACATGTATGCCCGGCTCCGACCCGGTTGAAATGGTTGCGCCAGGTACACGTGTACCCGGCTGTCCTACAATCCTAGAGCAGACACTGCCGCGCTATCATCGCTTCCGCGATGGGCATGCCTGAGTCTGAGTGTGTGTGTGTGTGTGTGTGTGTGTGTGTGTGTGTGTGTGTGTGTGTGTGTGTGTGTGTGTGTGTGTGTGTGTGTGTAAATTAGTGGCGGTCAATTCATCAGCCTTGTAAGCTGTTGCCGGAATAGTGCAATCCCAGCACAAGTTGCTATGTCTAACATAGCTGTTCGCTATCATCGCTTCTGCGATGGGCAGGTCTGAGGTGTGAGGTGTGTGTGTGTGTGTGTGTGTGTGTGTGTGTGTGTGTGTGTGACTGTGCGTGTGTGCGTGTGTGCGTGTGTGTATGTAGCACGCATGCGCACTTCGTGCTAGTAGTCTTATTGTTGTCGCCAAACCGGGAATCTGACCTCGCCTTGCGAAGACCCCGCCAGTTTGCATTACACATTGAATTTGTATAGGACGAGTAAGCTTGTAGTACTTTCAGCGGTGCTGTAGCAGATCTTGAGGCCGAGGGCAAGCCGGCATGATAAGCGCAGTACAAAGTATTTCGGCAAACCTTGTCCACCTAGTGCCTAGGCCCACCCGCTTCCTCCTCTGACTGCTGACTCCTCCAACCAGTGTAGCAGCAAGAGTATAATAACCCTTATACTCTTGAGTCTTGGTACCAGGCGTATGATGACTGCAGTCTGCAGGCGTATGATGACTGCAGTCTGCAGGCAGAAGAAGATGGCAAACCGTTTCGTTTTAACTCCGAGTTTCACGCACGAGGCGATCATTAGACAACAGTGCTTTGAGCAAGACAACAGTGCTGCTGGCTTATAAGTTATATATCCACAAAGTAAAGGTGTGAATCATAGCAGCGGTGAACAATTGCATTACTGTGTGAATAATATTTTCCGTTTGTAACTTTCCATCAAAACTAATGAATATTTCAAGTGACAAGCATTGGAGCAGGTTGTCTGCCACTTGATTAGGTGATGCATGTTGGTGGAACGAAGTTCCGAACCGAAGGTAGTACGTGTACTGATTCTCGTGGCGGCCTTTGACACAAGTTCTCTCCTCTTGTTGAGAGAATGGTGCTTGCGCGATTGCCAATTTTTCCGCAAGGTATACATGTAGGTTGCACCTTTGCTCTTCTTGCTGTAAGCCACTACTTTGCGGTGCACTGTCCATTGAATGCTGCATGCCTTCCCTTCACATTTCTTTGCCCAAGTGTATTGTGATAGGCGCGTGCTCTTCTGGTGTTGTCTGTTGCGCAGAGATGATTGGTGGTTATAGTAGCGTTGTTTGAATGTTGTTGCTGTTAGCCCAGTGTATTCCTTCTTCTCTGCATCTTAGCACACGAAGAGACGAAGCCAGTTGTAAATCTGCTGAGGCCTTTCGTACCATTACTTCTCAAATCCGCACATGGTGATAATGTGCCGATATGTTTCCGTCCGACTAAGTCTTTATTCTCTGTATCTGTGGTGACATATATGTGCATGTACTGACACTATAATGTACGTATGTAGGTATGTATTGTACATATCCATGCTGACATACCGGTGTGTACATTGTACAATCTACTGTCAGCATCCTCGTCCTCAGCGGCTCTTGTACCTCGAGTGTCGGCTCAGATATGCAGTGTCCTACGCTGGATGCAAACATGGCGACTTAGACCCAACCTGACTAAAACCGAAACGAGAGAGCTTGGAAGCTCAGGGCCCTACGCTATGCTTTGTTACTTAGCTCATCGTGCATGTTGTGGGAACTGATGGAAATGTTTCCTGGGAAGGCGCTGACTCTGCCGAGCACGCGCGTTCTGGAGTCGACGGGATCACTCTGGCAACGTTTCCTGTGACCGGCGCTGACTCGCCCGTTCACGCCTATTTTGGAGACGACGGGATCTCTCTTCCAAAGTATGTTTTTGCTGACGCATCCTTTCACCTATTCGGCAACTAACATCCATTCTAATTTCATTTCCTCCTCGTCTCCCTATTTCTTTCCAGAAAGTCTCTCTATACATCAGGGAGTCGTACTGTATTGGCAGCTACCCTAACGGGTCACGCCGCCCACCACCCAAGCATGGGTATGATGAGGGACAGTGGCAACAGAAACAAAAATACAGCAAGCAGGGAGAGAAAGCAAGAGAAAGACGGCGATAGTAGTACATCTGGTGTGCGACGTATAGAAAAGAGAGATGACAAGAGATGCGCACAAAATAGGAAACAATAATTATTTTTGCAGTTCCGAAACAATCAACCAGGTGATGGAGTGTGGGCACCTGAAGTCCCACCTGGACTCCACTGGAAGAACATCCCACGCAGGGATATCAGCGATAGGCCAAGCGTTGAAAAACAGCCATGAGGACACATCGTCTAGAAGTCCACCGCGCTCGAACTGAAATTGCAGGTTTAAACAATTTCCCACGCGGCGTCAGGCAGCGTAACTCTTCTCCCTGCATCACCATCCATCTCCAGCAACCGTCTCCACTCACAGCTCATGCCTCTGCCACCACTGTACTCCTCCGAGCTTCGCAGTTTGAAACCATTCGGGGGTCAGCTACACCACCGCGAATGGAGAGACGAGGACGACAACGGTCGTGACTGAAAAGACACTGCCTTGGCGACCGCGTCGCGGAACCCTCGCCCCAGCAAATTCAGAAATACGCCAGGGGCAACTCTGGTGGACCCAGAGCCACCCCCTTGGCAAGACTAGTAAGAGGAACGACTGAAAACTCAGATAAAACAGAGCTACAAAAATGCAACCGTCCCCTTCAAGCACAGTTGCAACACACAGGGAGTCGTATACATGTACATGTACATAATATTGTGGCCAGCTGTTTGTAGCCAGCTGTGTTTGATGGTACGGTACGGTACGGGACAGATACGGGAGCCAGCAAATGGCCAGCTGTGCGATACGGTACGGGACAGATACGGGATAGCGCCAGGCGTGACACAAACAAACAAACAAACACCAAATTAAAGCTGTGTGGACCCTGGCTAGCGCCAGACGTTACTGAAGTAACGTCTTCTGCATAGCTACGGGAATAATGTTCCTTCCCCCAATCTCATCCATGTCACTTTTACACCATCCTGATTTCCCAGAACCCATAAAGGTTGTTTCCAACCATAAACACCTGGGAATAATGCTTGATGATCGTCTCTCTTGGTCTTTCCATATTGATGCTCTTTGCAGCCGTTCAAGCTCTGCCCTAGGTGTTATACGTCCCCATTGCTTCCATCTTCCTTTCAAATGTAAAATTTTGTTTTACAAACTGTACATCCTGCCTCTTTTCCTGTACGCTGCTGTTAGCTGGTGTGGCTTGTCCTTGGTTCTCGCTGAGCATCTCGAAATCCACCATAGAAAACTTCTTCGTATCCTGTTTAGTCTACCCCCTCTCTACTCTTCTGCTTCCCTGTATGTCCTTGCAAATGCTTGCCCACTGTCGACCCACCGTCAAAAATTAATTTGCACTTTTACTCACAAATTTAAACTAGCTCTACATCCTCCTCATCTTAACGTGTATAACTGGTTCCGAATCACAGATGGCTCCCAGACAAGATGCTCTGTTGCCCTCCCCTTGGCTAAAACGTCCTCCCTTGTACGCTCTCCACTCTTTGTGGCTTACTCTGCTTGGCTTGCGCTGCCCGCTACTACGCGCAATGCCAGTACCCTGGACGCATTTAAATCTGCTCACTAGATTCACCATCACCTGTCCCTCCCATGCTTCTCCGTCTTGACCATTACTTTTCATCTTTTATCCACCATGGTTGGTTAACACCCACATCTCCCGTACTGGCTGATTTTCTTCTCATGCCATGAGGTGTTAATAATAATAATAATGTCATGCTTGTTTGAACATTCTAAAAAGAGACTTCAGATTCCTCAACAACAACCGTTGAAAAAGTTTCTCTACTTGTGAAACATTTCAAGAATATGTTGTTGAGGGACCTGAACTGTTTGCTCTTCTAAAGCATTATAATATCTCCGAGGACACTTTTGCATGCTTGTTTGCTAGGCAATCATCTACGCACTCGCTGTACATGTACATGATCCAACGTTTAGAATCGCGCAGAGCCCCCCCCCCCCCCTCGAACTTGAACATGACTGTACGCCGCCCAAAATACTAACTATCCATGAAATGGATGGCGGGGGCGGGGGGGGGGGGGTACAATATGATCAGATGTTATCATGATGAATATGATTGTACAGGTATGCCCACAGGGTCGAAATGTCTGGTGGCCAAAGGGGGGGGGGGGGGGGGGATCTGACCTGCTGTACCCCAACTCTTATCACAACACCATCACATGCCGTCAGCACTGGTATTACATAGCATGTAGTAGGTTTTGTTCATTTCTTTCACTGTCCGGTGCAGGCATCATTGCATCAAGCACTCTTTGACAATACCCTGTGGAAGGGAGGAGTCCTCTTGCAACACTGCTTCGTATTCACAGCGCCCACACTATATTTATATCAGGTACACAGTTCATTGGTTTTTAGGGGTGATGAACGCCATTTTTTCTCTTTCGTTGTCTTGTCCTTGTGTTGAAGATAAACATGTTTGTACATGCGCGTGAAGATAACTGTTAGTAAAGCAATTGAATAAAGCAGAAAACAGGGAGATGAGTTGAATCGTCTATGATAAACCATGCGTAAGCATAATAAGAGCAACAGCATATTTTCAGGTCTTGTTCCTTGGGTTTTTTAATATTCGAGATATGACATTATGAACTAATCCGGTTGATTGTACGGCCTAGGCTGCGTGTTGCGAGCATAATTTTGAAATTTGAAAATAGATTTGCAATAGCTACAGCAAACAATTGCTAATTGCTATGGGTCTAAATTGGTTTGGATAGGACTAAAACAGAAAGCTTGAGTCAGTGACACTTGGCCAGTAATCGTCCATGCCAGCGAAGGAAGTCGAGTCGAGCTGACCCAGGGAAGCGAAGAATTGGTCACTTGCTGCCGATGGAGTGGCTTGCCAAGTTGGCGACGCGTCGCACGATTTGCACAGTTCATCTAACCAGGACTTCTCCAGTGGACTAAGCAAGGACGTGGAGGTCATTGATGGTGTCGACGTTGATGTAGCATCGGAGTCGTAGCCCACACTCGACACGTCCGACGCTCGCTCAAACTGTAGAGGTGAGAATGAGGTGGCACCACTTCTGCCACTATCTAGAACTTGTACGTGCTCAACGGACGTCGAAAGGTCAGCCAGCAACTCGCTGCTCGTGTGAGCCGCTTGCTGGTTGAGCGTCTTCAGACTAAACAGATCGGACTTGGTCTCGCAATCGGCGAGCGAATACGGTGACAGTCGCTGACACTGTTGACCGCCCTGGGTATGGGTTGCACCAACAGCGCTAGGCAGTTCTACTTTGACATGATGTGGCGTCATTGGAGGTGTGTTGCAGGCGGAGGGAGGGGAAATCCCGGAGCGAGGACAAGGGTGACAATGCAGCGTGGCAGGTGCCGTCAACTGCTGGTGTCCTGCCGCTGTAGACGGGTCAAGCTCTAGACAGGTGGTGGTCGGACGTGTGAGAACGCGATGATTGCGAATCTGTGCACTGGCCGAATGTATGGACCTGTCCTGCAGCTCCTGACTGATTACAGTGGCTGGTACTGCTGCTGGCGACTCTTGCTCTTTCTTGACTACTGCGTCTACGGCACTTTCACCTTTGCGTGACCGTTTAGGGGTCTTGGTTTTGCGTTTCTTCTCCGCCAGTCCCACGTACTGGGTGATTTCTTGTTGAGACAGGAGCTTGAAAACACGGCTAATCTCTTCCTGCTTGATCCGCCGGCCTCGTACCCGTCTGGCGGCTGGGTCCTTCTTTCTTGGCTTGTATTTGTAGTCGGGGTGTTGCAGCCGATGCAGCTCTGCTATTCTAATTGCCTCCGCCTTGTAGGGTTGCTTCTCGCTGTCATCCATCTTGTTCCAGTTCTGCCCCAGCAGGCGACTTAGCTCAGCATTGTGAATACCAGGGTGTATTGCGGAGAGACGCGGTCGTTCCTGCTGCGCCCAGACCATAAAGGGGTTCATGGGCCTCTTCACTCTGTTGTCCAGGCTCTCGCCCGGGCTGCTAACGCCGCTGTCACTGCCCGGGCTGGCGGCGGACGATGTTGGCTGCATTGCTAATGGAGGTGAAGGTGGTGGCGAAAGTATCACGGGGGCGGAGGAAAAGTTTCTTCTCATTGGGACCTTCATCGTTACCACTTACAGTCGGAGCGTTGAGACGGGAGGATAATATTGGCAAAACGTCTCTCGGTCGAGGAAGATTGAATTGCATGGTGATGATGGAAGTCAATCCAATTTATTCATCGTCTCAAAACTGCGTATGACCTGTGAGATGAGGTACACGTCGCAACGTCGTGCATGGCTTCGACTTGTTTTCGTCTTGCGCTGTCAACTGTCAACGTGACAGAGTGTACAAGTTAGGGTGAAAACTGGAGTGGAGCTGGACTCACGTGGACGGATCTGACAGCTTGTTGAACGCTCCTACCGCGTCGTGGTGTATGAGTCTATGACTAAGCCAGCACGTGCTAGGTTGCTGGCCAGGCCAGCAGGGACAGACTTGCATGTACTGATCTACTGGACAGACATGCACAACTAGCTCATTTCGGAGGCAGGCCGTGCACGTGTTGGCCATGCTGGCGCCGGAGAGTCTCTTGTGTTGACGTTCGGTCAGTTTGTGCTCGGGGGCCCGAGACCGTTCACTCACACGGCGTCGCGGAACAGTGATGGTGCGATCCACATCGGAACAGCAGTTACTAGCAAAACCCGTTTCTTATCATTCGTCAGACGGAATGCACGTGCAGCTCAACTCTGTCCTGGCCATGCGCAGGCTCGTGTCCTAGCCGCCAAGGTCTGGACTGCTGGACTGCGCATACTTCACAATGCACAAGATCATCACAGGATGGTTGCATGCCCTCCGAATGTTGTCCTTGGCACAGAGAAGATGAAGTTGGAACTGTGCCAAGAGAAGAGACAGAATTGAGGAACATGCACAGAACTGACATTCATCCGTCGTCAGGCGACAAAACAGTCACATTCATTGTCAGTGCGTCTTTGTTTAGAACTAAATGACTTCTCAAAACAAGAACGAAAGCTCGTTGGGGTTAAAGTGTTCACACTTTCGTGCAGTGTCGATGTTGCGTCTCATCTCTGATTGTGCAACGCTTAGCTCAATCTACAAAATGTGCCTAGTACTAGTATACCGGTATCTATCCAGCAATGGTACACAGTGAACCAGTAGTGTGTATGCACGTGGATGTCTCCCTACAATCTAGACCATTTTAAATTTTCACGATTCTGAGCTGGTCTGTCCAGTTTGTCTTGTTTACAGTTGTGCAACTCTTTCTCTGGGATCATACCATATCCAAATCGGCTTCCCCAATTTACCACTAATATCTAAGTGTTCGTCACCTGATCAACCCCATACCAGTACCCTGGCATTGAACAGTCTTATCGGACGTTGATTACTCAGCTCTACTCGTGCAGATTCATCATTACCACCATGAATCGTTGTCTTTTGGGACACACTCGGGCGGAGCGTGCAGGAAGAGCACGCTGTTACAGGGATTGGCGCCTCCACAGAACCGCCGCAGCCTGTTCGATGACAATTTAGGCGCTGTTCACGAGTCGACGTTGCCGGGCTAGTCCGCTGCTCGCTTACAACACGCAGTGTTTGGTCGCACGGTTTCGGTGCAGAGTTGAGTCTGAGGTAAACTGCATGCAGTGAGTGGTCTGTCTGTCTGTCTGTACCGTGTGGATGAAGTGTCCGTACTGAGTGATAGCACGCACTTGAAGTTGAAGGCAGTCCAGTGTTGCCCGAAGGTTTTAGGGTTGACACGTCGTGGATTGACAGGTTCTGATCGATATGACACACTTACACTTTTACAGCAATCCAACTAGCTGTCACAGGTCTGTCTGCTTGGGCGGCACATCGCTCCTGCCCTACACCGGTGAAGTGCGCATGGCTGTAATGTATCTGCAGTCTGGGTGATAGTGGCTTGCTGGCTGGTTCGGGGAGGAGCAAGGTCGAATCGAAGACTGATACTGTGAATGTGATTCATGCTGATGACTACTAGTATCAACTATCACGAACGTACATATGGCAAGGGAGCAAGAGTAGTAGATCTACGTGTCGATCTATCCGCCAGCACACTATGCTGGTACCTGCTGTCCTCAACTCCAGTCAACTCACTGTCAACGACTTTGGTCACGTTGCGTTGCCCCACAAGGCCACAGCAGCCTCTTGCCCAGTCTTGGTACACAGACACGTGTATGTGCGGTAGGCAGCAAGAGCTTCATAGCAGCTGCAGCAATCAGCCTTGGCGTCCCCTTCGTGACCTTTGGAGTAGTTGTTTACTAGTAACCGACAACCAGAGGCCAACCGTGAGACTTGAGACTTGGCGATCGTGCAAGTAGCGACAGAAGTAGCAGCACACGGTCGCAGGCCTGTAGCCTGTAGGAGCAACGCCTGCTTTTATCTTGTGTCTTACGACTGGCAACAGCCAGCAGCACTCTTACGACTTTTCCGTACTGTTCGTGCCGCGGCCATTGTGCTTTTTGTGGGATTGAATGAAGGGGAAAGCCGCGAGTGTACGTGTGCCTCCTGGACAGTGCGTGGAGAACCTGCTCCAGGCGCCAGTAACTCGTCATCGGAGACTGCCAACACGAGGGCAGCAGTACACGGGCTGAAAGCATGGTCGCCATGTTCGCACATGGGTCGCACATGCATGCTTAATTGTCTCCTCATACATGTATATCCTGCTCGAAACCATTGTTCTATAATCATCTACAAGCTTCTGATGTAATTGGCGCTGACTGTTCATACTGGCAACGAAAACTAATCTCGAAGATTCAAAATCCATCGCTGTCTCCATGTTTTCCCTTTCCTCAGTCCTCACTGACTAGCCTGAAGACGCAGTATCGCTATGCATGTACATTGTACATGTACCTATATGAATCGCACCTGAGTCGTAGCACTCCTTATTATCGTCCAAATCTATTCTATGGCGCTATAGATAATATTCGCTGTAGGAACTCCTCCAATAGGACAGGAGTCTCTGTATAAAAAAGGAATCTTTGGCGGACATGCCCAAGCAGTGCACAATGCAGTCAACATAAGTGCTTGTCCTCAGGCTTCGTTCAGAGAGTCGTTGCAACGTTTTACCTGCTACAATACACGTAACATGTCGCTGTTTCAGGGTTGGTAATCATGATGACGTTGTCTTCATGACAAACTATTACTAATCAGCAATGATCTATAAATATCTGTATGAGATGGACGTAGCGCAGGACTGGCATAATACCGGAACAGCATATAAACAGACTAACACTATCGGACCACAGCACCAATACGGGTGCTAGGAGTTGAGATGGTAGACGTGATTGTATCATTTCTTTAGAGCTCGAAAAGCATTCCTTAACACGAGCGAAGGACTTGCAAGCCCCGAATAGATAGCCGCGATAACGTTGCGCACGGGCCGACAAAAGAGAGTACTTTATCTCCTCCATCCAAAGGGGGGGGGGGGGGGGGGGCATCAATCCCTTCCAGAAAGTGCACAGTCAGTGCATGTCGTTTATTGGTAGATCTACATGTACATGTTATTTTGATCAGTTGGTACTGTTTTAGATGTGGGACAGTCACACTGGACTGGAAGCAACACTGCACACTTTTTTAATCCACTGACCACGTGACGATGTTACCTGGAAAAGTATAGTAAAACTCTCCAACTTTGTTACTAAGGCTTTGTACGGCTCTGTTCATGGTGGAAGAAAGAATGAGAGTGGCTAACCTATGGCTTGTCCATCCTTACTGCACACTGCATGCCTCTGTGACAGAGCTACATGTGGAGAGTAGAGTAGAGGCGGGATCCGTCATTGTAGACAGTTCAACTCCTATTGACGTCACTCTTCTCTTCCGTTACCAAACTAACTTACCATGGACACAGGACTGAGAGTCTGTGGACACCTACATGTAGATCTACATGTACTATACAATCGTCATGTACATGTATATGGCTCGTAGATCTACGATGCATGTACAAGTGACATAATTGTTGGTTGACACCAAGCATGTTACCAGGCGGAGGACCACTGTGTTCGGAAGTAGTGGCCTAATAGTATCTACAACCAACCACGGTTGGCAGAGCCCCGGTCTTGCGACCATCTGAACCGTAGATCGGTTGAACTTCTATGGGTATTAGCCCTGGTTCTGACCCTCACTATAATAGGGAGTTGTTTGAGTCCTCCTGCCATTGCAATGTCAGCCGTGTATTCCCTTTTCGCTCCTACAAAGTTTATAAGGACTGAGCATCAAGAAGAAGACATCCAGGAGCGAACAGAGAATACACGGCTGACATTGCAATGGCAGGAGAACTCAAACAACTCCCTATTATAGTGAGGGTCACAACCAGGGCTAACACCCATACGGTTCAGATGGTCGCAAGACTGGGGCTCTGCCAACCGTGGTTGGTTGTAGAACGGTCCCTGTTTCCGAACACAGTGGTCCTCCGCCTTGTAACATGCTGTCAACCAACAACGTTGTGTTTTTAACAATACAAGGTTTATCTAAATGATTGCATGTACTTGTATACCTCACTGCATATTCACCTAAATACAAAATTAATAGCCATCTACAGACTACATAAAATAGTGAATATTGCTCAATACTCGCCGTTTATATTCACCAATGCTTTAACACCCCACCACCACCACCACCACCAAAAAAGTGATCCGTGTCCCGTCGCGAGGTGATGCGAAGTAGTGAGATCTCAGGTATGTGGTGCGAACTGGACGATCCAGAAGCAGTCACCGACCGTCGATCCGTTCACACCTCCGCGTGGCGCGTTGACCATGGCATTAGCCGGAGGAGTTGCTACCTACACTACGTACCGAACACTGTACTGTAGTACTACCCCACACCGGCTACAGTGTCAGTGGTTCAGAGGGACTAGTCATTTGCCTGTGCAAACTCTGTCTCAGTCAGTGTGCCGGTGAAGACCGAGCTCGGTTGGCCGGTGGAAAATGGCTCTGAGTCATTCCGGCCAGCTCCACTTGGCTTATCTCCAAACCTCTGCCGTGGTCCAGGAAGAAGGCTTTCTCAGCCAACGCGTCTACCGAAGGCCACGTTCTATCCGGCCTTGACGCCTCTGCAGCGGATGGGCTGGTGTGCACTCTACCCAGCCTTTCTGAGTGAAGCGAAGTCCTTGTTCCGGCTACCCGACTTCAAAATGTTGTATCGCTGTGAAGCAGAATCTCCAGGTAAGGATTTGTGGACGTGCATGAGAGA